TATGATGTTCCCCGCGGGTGGGACCACGGGTAGGCCCCCACCTGTGGGTCTGCCCGCGGGGTACAACGACCACGAGAAGCATGTTCCCCGCGGGTGGGGCAGCGGGTAGGCCACTGCCCGCCGTTCCGCTCGCAGGGTACACTTCGTACTCCACAATTTCCTTTCGGGGAAAATCAACAACAAGGCCAAGTTCAAGTCCAAAACACCCAAAATCTCACACACAACAATGATATGACTTGAAGCCAAGAAATGGCATTCAAGAAACCTAAATACAAGCTCTAAACATGCATCATCACAAGATCATGCATCAAATCTCACAAATCACATCAAGAACATCAAGTAGAAGCCAATAATCATCATTTAGGTAAGAAAATAGGTTTTGTATAGCATGGGTTACCTTTGTAGCCTAACAACTTCTCCTTTTCGCCCTCTTAAGCCTTTTCTTAGAGCTCTCCTTCCACACCAACTTCTTACACAAACCAAAACACAAGAAAGATTCTAACTTTAGATAAAGACACCCAAAAGATGGCTAAAAACACCAAAAAGCTAAGAACCTTACCCTTTCATATGCTCAAGAAGAAGAAAGTAGGAATCTTGGTGAAGGATCTTGCAAGGCTTAAAGGTTCACCTTCTTGCTTGAAGAATAAGCTAGGTTATTTTAGAGAGAGGCTAGAGTGTTTGAGACTTAGGCTTGAATGATGAATGAATGAAGTGAAATGTCTTGCTAGGGTAGCTTGAACAACAATTCATGGGTGAAAAGCCACTTTTACCCTTACTAAGGTTGGAAAGACAAGGGGACAAGGGTACAACTCATGAAGCACATGGTACACTCAATTGATTTAAGTGACTAGTCAAAATCTAGTCCCTCGACTATTAAATTTCAGGATTTTTAGAAATGGATTAGCAAAGAAAGCTTGGATTAATTCTTCAATTAATTCTCAATTAGTATTTAGATTTACGGGGTGTCACAGGTTCCCTGTGCTATCTAAAATGGCAAGGGATATACTTGTCGTTCCCATTTCTACAGTTCCATCATAATCAGCATTCAGTACTAGTGGAGGGTTCTAGATGCATTTAGGAGTTCTCTTACTCCTAAAATTATTGAGGCACTTGTGTGTGCACAAGATTGGCTGAGGTTGGCCAATCAACCTCTTTCAATTGAAGAAAACATAGATGAAGTTGAGAGATTTGAAAAAGGTAGATTGTATAATCTTATTAAATTTTTTTTGTTTTACATTTTAAACTGTATAACTTTATTAAGTTTAAATGTTTTTTTTTTTAATTTTTGCAGAGTTGTGCACTGGAGTAAGTGGACTTGGTACTAGAGTTGGTTTTTCTTTGCCTATAATACCTGTAACATCATTTCTATTTCTATTTCATTTCAATTATAACATATTAACCTTATTAAATATTGTTTGATTTGTTTCAACTAATAATGTGCTTGACTACTTGTGTTTTATGACTGTATGAGTTTATTGAAGTATGGAACTATGGTCCTATATTCTGCTGACTCCCTAGATGGATACTTTGGTGCCTCAATGGCTTGGCCCATTTTAGATGGATACCAATTGAGCTAATAAAAACTCAACATTGCGCCAGGTATGACATATCAGTAAGATAGTAAGATATTAAGATAGTAAGAGTATAAGAATTGAAGTTTGCAAATTCCAATCAGTAAGACAGTAAGAGTGTAAGACAAGTAAGTGGTATATCGCTTACCTCTCTCTTTATCTTTACTTAACATTCTTAACTTTGAATTTCTTTAGGAAGAGGAATAGCCCAATAGGAATATAGGATTGGATTATGATTTATCATTTATGGATGTTTGGATAGTTGGATGCTTCATGTTTGGATACTTGTAATGACATTATGGTCTATGGATTCTTATCACTGATGTTATGGGTTTGTAATTTTGTATAATTTAGATGTAATTTGTATAATTGGATTATGATGTATGCAGTATGCTAAAATGCTGATTTTGTCATTTTGTGCCTTTGTGCCAAAGTGCCAAACTACCAGATTGTATGATTTAGATTTTTAGGGTTTAATTTTTCACTATTTTACTATTTTGTAATTTGTATGTTTGATTGTTTAGACTAAATTTAATTTTAGTTCAATGTTTAAGTGTTTAACTACCAAAATTAACAAATTTTACATTTTAATTTATTTTTATTAAAAACAAAACTATCCGACGAAAAGTCGGAAATTTGACGGGTTCAAATATGCTAATACCCCACGGGTTTCCGATTATATTTACACGGATTGGGGTTACAAAATCAAAACCAAAAACCGTTCGGTTGATAGTTCTATCCACCCAAACCCATCAATTGCAAAGCCCTAAATACATTGTACTTTCAATCTAGAATCATTAGTGGCTAAAGATCTCTAGGGATTGGATTGTGATTTCATTGCAATGTGCTAGTGTGATTATGAATGATAAATTGGAATTGTGATTGTGAATTTCTCGATTTCGTGTTGGAAGTGCAAAGTTTATCTTGTATCTACTTTGGAGTTAGGACCCAATTCCTTTGATAATCTAGGATCTATTACACTTGACAAGAGATTACTTGTGTGATTAAGCCTCCACTCCACTTGTAATTCCCAACTTAGATCCGAGAGGAAATAGTCCAGAATGAGGTGTAGATAAGGTGTTCGATGAAGTAACTAGTATGTGTAATGTTGACACTCAGGTGTTTCGTTACTCTATGATACGCCATAAGATCTAAAATGGTTATGGCATTGTTAGAAACCTCACTTGGAATCTAATAATCACAACAACACAATTTCTTGCTTAGACACTAGAAGCATATAGCAATGGAAAATCAATCCTTATCCCATTCTTTCCTATTTGATTCACTTGTGTAATTGCTTTGCTCTCTTGCACTCTTTACTTCAAATTCTTTACTCAATGATAAATGCACTCCGTGAATCTTGTAAGTGACAAGCTCAAATCAATCCTTCAACTCGCTTACACGTATCAACACTTCTAAATTTGTAATCCTTGAGATCGACATCCGTGGAATCTTCATTCCCTACTTTTCTTTCAATCCACCGCTACACAAACAAATCCTTTTCAAAATGGCGTCGTTGCCGGGGATGACATACGATAATCTTTGAGATGTTATTTTTGTGAGAAACAAGGAAGTTTGAGCTTGGATACTTGATGCATTTTCTTTTACATTTGTTTATTTTGTTTTGCTATAACCCACTTGAGCAACTACTTTTAGTTGCGGAAACCATTTGTCTTGTCATTCTTGCAGGTTGATGCACACCCGTTCAAAGAGAACACAAGGTTTACTTCCATTAAACCCGGAGATAACCAAGGCAACAAGGAGAAGGACAAAGAATAATCTCATCCAAGAGGAGATTGGAGAAATGGCATCTATGAGTGCCATGAATCAAGGGGAATTGCATGGAAGGTATCCTCTTAGACTTACACCACCACCCATTCATGTCCATCCACAAGGATGATTTGAGGCTTACGTGTCCCGTGAGCCATTGCATGTTGATGAGGAGGACAATGTTGAAGTTCAAGGGCAACCAAAACAACAAAGAAGGGGGGAATTTTATGATGGCCAAGGAGATTACCGGATGAGGACCATAGCGGAGTAAATGACTCTGGATTTCTCAATGCATAATTCTATCTACGTTCCACCGATTGAAGCAAAAAACTTCACTATCCATCCGGCGGTGATCAACCTTGTACAAAACAGTCCGTTTAGCGGGTTGCCATCGGAGGATCCACACACACTTATGACTCGATTTTTCCATTCGAGTGGAATGTTTCAACAAGATGGTGTGCCGACCGAAGTCATAAATCTCAAGCTCTTTCCATTTTCTGTCATTGGAGAAACATTAAAATGGCTTGACTCACAAGATGATAACCATTTCTGTATGTCGGTTCAACTCCACAAGGAGTTCATGAACGAGGTTTTTCCACTCACAAGAACCATGAAGGTGAGAAAACAAGTACAAGGATTTATGGAATCCTTGGAGCATGGAGGCATTTCAAGACACTCAAGAGGCAATGCCCATCCGATCTTCTCCACCCATGAGACATCATAAGCTCTTTCTTTGGGGGGGGCTAAATGATGAGAGTAAAATGTTGCTAGATTCATCTTCCCGTGGTGCTTTTGTGTCTTCATCGCCGTTCGAGGCCGAGGCGTTGATTGAAAAAATTACATCAAATACATCTTTTGGTACAACAAGACAGACTTGAAGGCTAGCATGTATGAAGTATCGGACCAAGTTGCAAATGATGCCAGAGTTGCAGTTATGAGCCATGAGATTAAGAGGTTGCAAAAAATGGAATGAGAAACTTGGGGCTAAGCTCAACCTTACATGGCACTTGCCCTTTATTTCAATGTGTGTGGTAGACCGCATGATACACTGGAATGCACCTCCCTGAATGCCTATGAACAAGTTCAGGCCATTGGTTTTTCACAAAGCAAGAAATCACCCAAGACTGTCGGCAAGAATCACAAGCATCTATGAAGAATCTTGAGACGCAAATGGCTTAAATCATGAAGATGATGTCTGAAAGGCCGTGGAATGCTTTGCCAAGCACCACCGAAAACAATTCCAAAGGAAGGGTTAACGCCATTTCTTTGAGGATTGCGGGTGATGGAGAACCTTCTTGTGAAAATATGATGAGCAACAAAGAGAAAGAGACCACCTCTTGTTGTCTAGCAAACAATGAGAAGGAGACCACCTCTTGTGGTCAAACAATGAGGATACTATACAATTAAAAAATTAACTAACGTAAACAAATGCTATTTAAAAGCCTTCCTGAAATCTATTTTTTCTAACTCAATTGATACATTTGAGAATCAATTTTTTCAGGCACTCATTATTCATTTTAAGCATATAATATATCAAATCTATCATCTCAACCAAGAGAATCGAAATTCACTTCAAATTTGAAGTAGACCAATTCAAGTTAATATCTCAGAATAACTACTTTTTTTTTTTTGAGCGCAAAACAGAAAATACATTACTGATCAGAATAAGTGCGAAATACAATCCAGTGGGACACCAGTCCAGACCCCTGAGACAGCCCTAGAAACGGTTGCCCGAGCAAGCTCATGAGCCACACGATTCACTGATCTCTTGATATGGGATACACTTACATTCCCAATATCCATAGCAATTGACTTACATTGCTTCACTACTAACCCAGCATAAGAAAAATCAGAAAAACAAGAATTGAATGCGGTACAAAAATTTAAACAATCAGACTCTAACATAACATTACTAAAAGCCTGTAACTTAAGCCAAGTTAATGCCTCCTTAACTCCTAGAACTTCTGCCATGAACGGATCCTCCTCGCCTATCAGCCTGTTACACTTCGCTGCGATAAACGTCCCTGCATGATTACGTAGCACAATGCCATAGCCAGCCCCTTCCCTAGAAACCATGGCGTCCACATTACACTTGATGAAGTTAGAAGGTGGCGGACTCCAGTCAGCCAATGCAGCCTCATTGATATGATCTTGGTTTCGATTTGTGTAGACTTCCTTCCATTCGGTCTGTAGCTTATTCAACTGCTCGCTCGCCCAGTCCATAGATGGTAATTTACCACGCCACACCATGTCGTTTCGGGCTGTCCACACTATCCAGAACACTGCTGCCATCTTCGTAACATGCATCGCATCCGTTAAGCCAAACCAATCCTCCATGCACCCTGCCAAACTACGACCTTGTCGACGTCCGAGCTGCCCCATAGCTTTTGTGCCAACTCACAATCGAAGAACAAATGCTCAGCTGACTCCATATTGTAACCACAGATTGGGCATCCTCCCCCAATCCACACCCTCCGGGAATGTAAGTTTTCCCGAACTGGAATAATGCCGCGAGCACACCGCCACATTAAATTTTTCACTTTCGGGGGTATCGGCTGTGCCCATAATTTTTTCCAAGATTGGAAAGTGCCCATGTTCACGTTCCAGGTTGAGTCCTTCGTCAATAAATGGTAGCCCTGCTTAACACTGTAGCAACCACGAATACCCCCCACCCATTTCCAAGAGTCACGGAGATGAACATTCAGAGGGGTAGCCAGAATCTTAGGTACATCCTCGGGAAGGAAAATGTCCCGTAAAACCTCTTCATCCCATCGACCCTGCCCATCATGCAAACCTTGTACCGTCGCCAGCCGAAGATGATCGGCACACGAGGTGGCTAGACTAACATCGGGATTAGATGCTAACCAATGCCATCCCCATATCCTCGTGGCGCAACCGTCTCCAATGCGTCTTGCTAGCCCCAGTCGTAACACATCCCTTCCAGCTAGGATACTTCTCCATAAGTAACTCGGATTCCCACCTGGTTGAGCCTCCATAAAATCTGTCCTGGGAAAATATTTGGCTTTCATAATTTGACTCACCAATGAATCTGGATATATCAAAATTCGCCAGCCTTGTTTGGCCAACAGAGCCATATTAAACTCATGTAATTTTTTAAAACCCAGACCCCCTTTTGCCTTTGACATACACATTTTGTCCCAACTCAACCAATGAATACCACGGTTACCCCCACCCCCTCCACCCCACCAAAACCGATTGAGCATTTTTTCAATAGTATCACAAATTCGCAACGGAAGCATAAAAACTAACATTGTAAAAATTGGCAGTGAAAGTGCAATGCTTTTCAAAAGGACCTCTTTACCTGCACGAGACAGCAGTCTATTTTGCCAGGCTCCAATTCTCTTTCGAATATTCCCTTCGATATACTTAAAAACTTTCGATTTGTTGCGGCCCAAAACCGAAGGTAGCCCCAAATACCGGCCCAAATCCGCCGCTTCTGGAACACCAATGAGAGCCGAGACCTGGTCCCTGACTATTGATGGTGTATTATGACTATAAACAGTCGATGATTTGTCAAAATTTATAAGTTGGCCCGAGGCCAAACTGTAAATCTCTAGGCATTCCTTAATTTTTGTTGCTTCCCGTTCGTCGGCCCTGAAAAAAAGCAAGCTATCATCAGCGAAAAAAAGGTGCGTGATGGCCGGTGCACCCCGGGCCACCCTTACACCATGAATATCGCCCCGAGCTTCAGCCTGCTGTAGAAGGATAGACAAGCCTTCGGCACAAATAATAAACAGGTACGGTGATAAAGGGTCCCCCTGGCGGATACCCCGAGTAGGCCGTACCTGACCCGCTATCTCCCCATTTACTAAGATTGAGTAATTCACCAAGGTGACACACAACATTAGCATAGCCACCCAATTTCCCGGGAAACCCATTGCATTTAACATACCTTCCAAAAACGGCCATTCCATCCTGTCGTACGCTTTAGCCATATCTAGCTTTAGCGCCGCCCACCCCTTACTTCCCCCGGTTTTCCGCCGTTGGAAGTGTCCCACCTCCCCGGCTACGATAATGTTATCCGTGAGTAACCGGTCAGGGACAAAGGCGCTTTGCGACAAGGATACTACACGAGACAGACACGTCTTCAATCTATTAGCCAACATTTTGGCTAATATTTTATAAATCACCTTACACAACGCAATAGGGCGTAGGTCCGAGACTTTCTCGGGTACAGGCTTCTTAGGGATTAAAACGATATTTGAATCGTTAAATTCCGGTGGGAATTGTCTGAGTTCCACACATTTAATAACGAACACAGATAGATCATGCCCAATTACCGGCCAGAAATGCTGAAAAAAAAGCCGGCGACAAACCGTCCGGGCCGGGGGCCTTTTCGGGTTGCATGGCAAACAAAGCCAATTTAACGTCAGCTATTGTAAACGGACTAGATAATGCAGATTGCATCTCTGCCGTCACTTTTCCCCGGACACGACCAAAAAAATCAGCACTGCACGTGCCTGAGCAGAAAATATTTTCGAAATACCTGATAACTTCCGAATTCAAAGCCGTGCCTCCCACCCACTCGTCACGTTGGTTTTTGATCCGGGACAACTGATTGTGTCGCCGGCGAGCCGTAGCCATTTTGTGGAAATACTTAGTGTTTGCATCCCCATGCTTTAGCCAAAGCTGTTTTGAGCGTTGTCGCCAGAAAACTTCTTCAACTTTCAAAATTGTATCCAACTCTTGTTCGGCTGACATAAACATAGCAACGGCACTAGGCGATCGGTTCTCTCTCAGTTGATCAAGAGTTCGCCTGAGCTGATTACTTCTGGCCCCGAAAGTCCGATGATATTCCCCGCCCCACTTCCGGAGCCGCTCGCCACATAGAGCTAAACGTTCCTGGAACGGCTGCCCTGTAGATATACGCCATGCTTCTCCAACCACCCGCATACAGCCTGCCTCCAACATCCAGGCCGACTCAAATCTAAACTTCCGGTTTGCAACGCGTGTAGGCCCAGAATTTAAGTCCACAAACAGAGCACAATGATCGGAACTGTGAGCATAAATGTTCCGCACCACAGCTTCTTCATGTAATTCCATCCAGTCCAAAGTCGCCACCGCCCTATCCAACCTCTCTTCTACCCATGCATCAGTACCCCTCCCCTTCACCCATGTAAACCGCCCTCCTACCATACCCAGGTCTACCAATCCACAGTCTTCCAAAGCGTCGTTAAAACCCTCAATTAGTGCTGATGGATGCGAATGTACTCCCCTTTTCTCCGCCAGACTAGCAATATCATTAAAATCACCGACAACAACCCACGGAGCTTGAGAGTCCTCCTGAAGTTGCCGCAGTAGATTCCAAGTGATGTGCCGTCGACTTCTATCAAACTCCCCATAGAACCCCGTCATTCTCCACCCTGGGCGGCCCGGAAGAGTTATGTCCATATCAATGTGATTGTTGGAATAACTCCTCAGTGACGCCGTATCCTTATCCCTCCACAAAAAAGCCAGTCCCCCACCAATCCCTACCCGTTCCACACAAACTTTCCCCTCAAAACCCAATTTAATACGAACCTCCTCCACTTTCGATTCCGTAGCTTTTGTCTCCATTAAGAAGACAAATTGGGGATGCTGCTTGGACACAAAGCCCAAGAGCTCACGAACTGACCGGGTGCCCCCCAAACCCCGGCAGTTCCAGCTTAACAGACTCATCGGTCCCGGCGAGTCTAGTCCACCAGACCCGCCAATCTATCAATGTGTACATTATCTGTCATTCGCACATCTGTTTCGGATGTTCCACCAGCCTTTTCACAATCCTCCCTCCTTCGCTTCAGATCGCCCTGCAATCCCGCCGCCTCCTCCATCGCCACTAGAATTGCCGGTGACGAGTTGGATGATCGGTTTGTCGGCTCTGTATCAAGATTTGCGGCAGTTGTCGGCGTGGACGGTGCTAATAGCCACTTTGCCCCAATTGGTCGCACCTGCCTTCTAGGACCTGCGCGTAACCAAGCTCCGAACGGAAACTCGTCCGGTAGAATGCCATTCTCATATGCCGTCTTGCAAAATTTATCCGAATGGCCTAGTAATCCGCAGCAGTAACAAAACGTACTGAGACATTCATATTTGAATGTTATCCAACTCGTAATCCCATCGCGATGAATCAGCTTCATCCGTCTTTTAATCGGTGATGAGACTGCCATCCGGACCCGTATTCTGTAAAAGCTCTTCCATGTTCCTCCAAAAAGGTTTCAGAAATTGTGTTTAATTTATCATTTCAAAACAAATGCCATCCGGACCCGTATCCGTCGTTTCAATCGTTTGATGTTTATTGAAATGATAATTGCGTAGCGTTTCTGAAATTGTATTTAATCGGTGATGAGAATGCCATCCGGACCGAAACATCAAAAAATCAAAATCCATATCGATGTCAATAAACACAATTTCAGAAAACAAGTAATATACCAAAAACACCCAGGAATAATAGGCACTTCATTTCCTCATAAGTCACAATACAAAGATCAACCGTAAGAATAGAAATCCTCATATTCCAAAATTTAAGAGCTTCCAGAAACCCACAGCTCTCAGATAAATTTTAAAAATATTATTACTAAAATACAAGAGTATCTCTTAAAGCAAGGTATGAATGCAGACCGGCTCAAAGCTTGAGCAAAGCAGGCCCTTGTTGGCGCCCCTGAAACTCCAATCTGAAAGAGCAGATAGGAAGAGATTGATATTAGCCATTTTCTGCTGTGTCGTAGGCGTTGGATTTGTGTTTTGGGGCAAATGAAAACCCCTCAGGAACCTTGCCAAGTAACATTTCGGAGATCCTGATCTGTTTAAGGAACATGACAGATTATTAATATTGTACGCTTTAGAGCTTCAAATAAAAATGGAGAGAGAGTTACAGATTTGATACCCAATCGGCAGCAGAATCAGAAGCCATCAGTGTCTCAAGGTCATCTCGACCATAATATGCAGGTGATCGCCAATTTATTCTTTGAGGGATTACATCTAACAGACCAACTGGAATATATCGGCATGTGTAACTAAGCCACTCTAACAAGAAGTGCCTGGTAGTCTCCAGGCCTGCAGCCATTTAGTACAAAAGTCAACATTTTACATTCATGCTTGACAAATGTGTTTGCCAAGAACAATCCAAAAGCCATCTCTAACTTACCTTTTGAGTCAGAACCCCAGTGTTGAAGGCCAAAACGCACATAGTCCTTCAAGATATCCAGCCGTTCCCCAGAGCTAATATCCCAGTGTCTCTGTTCCTTGATTTCAGTAAATATCCAAGGCTACAAATTTTGGAAGAGAGTTATTTCAATATGGCCACATGACCAAGTGCATAGAAGATCATCAATAAAGAATGCATTTAAAATACCTTTATCAATGCACCTCGAGCAATCATACATGTAGAAAGCTCAGGGCAATCGTTTTTGTGTTTGTTCCAGTCTACATAAGAGAATACATCACCATTGCCAAGGATTTGCAATGACTTGGGGGCAGTTTGTGCACATTGGTAGATGTATCCCCAGTCAGCAAGCTTGCTGTAGCGTTGCTGACGTGATCGACCATGTATAGTAACTGCAGTAGCTCCCCAGTTTCCAATATCAGCTATTAAGGAATGAATGCGGTTTTTCCCCTCAAAATAACCTGTTCGTACCTTAAGCAGCAAAAGGTGCAATTATAAAGCATCTCAGAAAAGGAATCTAAAAGATCTAAAGTGTAGAAACTTGCTGTAGAGAAAACAAATATTTGTATCCAATTGAAAACTCCATAACCTACACTCTTATAATTGCATTAGTTTTCCTGAATGCCAAAAGTACAACTTACCTTTATGGTTATTGGTGTATCAACAGTTGCAGTAGCCCCTGCTATGACACTTTTCATTCGCATCGGTTTTGTAAGAAGAAATGACCCAGCACCTTTGCTAACTACAATGTCAATTGGGCATCCCATGTTAATATCAATAAAGTCCACTGAGCACTCCTGCTCAATAAGCTCAACAGTTCTTGCAACTGTATCTGGATATTGTCCACAGATTTGAACACCAAAAAAGTCTTCAGATGAGTGTCGCCTTAGCAGTGCCCATTCTGATGCTTGACCCTATGGGCATGGAAAAAGACAGTAATACACTTGCACTTTAACTTAAATATTTCTCTTCACAATTTTGTGCAATTAAAAAAAAATACTGAAAAACAAGAACCCACCTGTAAAAGATTTGAGCACATTGCCATCTCACCACAGGTTACATCAGCTCCCAGCACCTTGCAAACCCTTCGGAAGGGTAGATTCCCTACTGTTGTCAGAGGAGCAAGGTAAAGTTTCTCTTTGAAATCAATAAGCTTTTTCTCACGTGGATGAACTTTAAGGCTTTTATCCGTCTCTGCAACAGGAGGATCTATGGTTGCTGCAGATGTATCTCTGTCTTGGCTCCTTTGAAGATTATTCTCCTGGATATTTGTAGCTGCTGAAAGCACTGCAGTTCCTACAGATGCATCTCCATCATGGCTCTTTGGAAGATCTTTCTCTAGGATATTTGAAGCTGTTGAAATATACAACTAAGCTTTGGAGATCCTCACTAAGCAACAATATGAATTCTAGAAACAAAATACTCAATTTACATACCATTGTTAACATCAACGAAAGTAGCTGTTTCGTTAGTAGAAGATTTAGCCTTCTTTTGTGGTCTATCATCTTCAATCACAGCAGTATCATCTAGACCTTCTTCACCTGTTACTAGAAGAGAGCTCTCCAGTTTGATATTAGCATCAGCAGGAGCTTCATTGTCATCAATAGTGGAAGAGCCATTTGTATCAATTTGATCATCTTCCTCTGGATTGGCAAACTTATTATTTTTTGCCAGACTCTGCAATTAGAATACCACACCAATAAATAACAGCACCAGAGGTTAAAGAGGAGTAAAACATACAATATTGTTGTGGATTCTACCACCTTCATGTCATCAAAGCACACAGAATTCGAGTTCAACCATATTATAGATTTTGTTAAGAAAAGGGATATCCTCCCCAATGTATTTACTCTTCTCTAATAGTATTAGTATTATATGATTCCTTATCTTCTTCCGTTCGTAGACTTGTGTAGTTGATACAAATTAGGCAGAAAAGAAAACTAATCAAATAATCATTCTTGTGGCAGAATTCAAAGAAGCATAGAATAAAGGATTGACTGACTATGTAAATCCCTACTTATTTTATTAGCTCCTACCTTATTTTACATATGGTAATAGATTATAAATAGAGACTAGCTCTTAGAAGGGAGGGCATCCAGTAGAATTGGAACAGTTAACTCTAAGTAGCTGTGGGCAAGTATTTATTCTTGTTGGAGGGATATTCTTCAAATTCCCTAGTTTTTCTTTCCTTTGGTTTTACTTTATAATATCATAAATCTCCAAGAATTCTTGGTTCAAATTCATCCTGTCTCTTTACTATTGTCAGAAGTGTATACTGACCTTAATCCCAAGATGTTTGAGTGCAGCATTAGCCTTGGTGAACTTCACTTTATGTTTCCACAAAAGCTTCTGAGTTTCCTTGTTCAATACATTTAATTCAGAACAATGCCTATTACTCTTCAAAGTCTCCACTGGTAGATCATCTTTGTGTGTACCTGCAAATCTACAAGCCAATCCATAAGGACATGGCCCATCATTATCCAGGAAAGGGCATGTACCCTCTATATCAGCTGGTTTCTGCATCCAATTGGCAACAAAAATCAATTTACAGTTCACACAAAAACCAACAAAATGATTCTTGATTTGAATTTTACCTGAGCATTGAAAGCATCCACATCATGGCTAAAGCGGCACTTATCACTATAAGGACACGAACTAACTTTCCCAGTTTTTGCCACCATGGGACAAAGATTAGGATGAGATTTTTGTTCCTAAAATTAGAACCATCAAGATACTTCAAAACCTTTTAAAATTTTAAAAATCTTCTGATTAAAGAAACCAAATTCATGGAATAGTTAATGTAAGTTACACGATAATAACAAGACTGCAAATTTACAATTAGAGCAGAATATGTACTTAAAAATAGTAGAAATTGCATTTTCAATTAATTTTTGGGAAGATGACCTGATGACGTTCACGTTTGAGTTGACGTTTGGATTTCTTCTCTTTGAGCAGAGGATTGGACTTAGCCTCTGCAGCGTCATCATTTTGGAGTCCGGTAACGTCACTATTGCCGTCACTATGATGTCTTTGAGGGGGAGGACGAAGATATTCCCTCTTCACTGGAGCGATGGCTTTGGCCACTAGCTCTTCTGGGGTCTTATGAACCGTCTGAGTTTCCACTCCGCCTCCGCCGTCAATTTCCGACGGCGGTGGATGCTCCAAGATACATGGATCCTCGATAATCGGTTCCGTCGACGTTGGCCCGTCCATTTCGGGTCAGGTTGATATTGAAGTTGGCTTTTAAGGTACGAGAGCAACCACTCGTCTATGTATGCAGGGCGATGGAGCTGAGAAATAGGGTTTTTCCAGGGTAGTTCGGTAGGTTGGTGCCAAAACGACACCGTAATTTATATTGTGGATTGTGGATAGTTGATCAAAACGATTTAAGTTTTTTTTTTGAAAAAAAAAAAAACGATTTAAGTTTTTTTTTTGAAAAAAAAAACGATTTAAGTTAAATCCAGAACTACGTCGGACTATAGTCCCGTATATATAGGGCGTTTTGTTAGAAGGAATGAATTAGAGGAGAAAGAAATGATTGGGAATGAGAATGAAAGAAGTTATATAATGATCAGGTCCGGATTTTGGGTTGTGCAAGCTGTTACCGCACAGGGCCTCAAATTTTAGAAGCTCAATATTTTATTTTTACCTAGTTAGTTTAGAAATAAAAATTAAAAGTTTTTAATTAAACTTAAAAGGCTTTATAAAGAAATGATAGGAACATGTATTTATTGTATTTTAACCTTGAGGTCTAAGGTTCAAAACTTGTGCACACTATTATTATTATTATTATTCCATAATATGTTTATTTTTACCTGTGCGTTGCACGGAAAATATTTGTTATAATCTTAAAATTATAACAACGAATATTATATAGTGCAATTGATGAAATGGGTTGTATCGATTATGTTTTTTTTATGTTATCCTTGCTTAAATTAGAGAAAATAATTACCCAATTATCCATACAGTGTGCGTGCGATGTGCGTGCAGTGTGCGTGCGATGCACGAATAATTTTTTTTTTGTTATATATTTAGATAATAAAATTACGATATTAATTTTATAGATTTTAATTTTGATAGGGCCTTATTTATTTATCCGAACAGGACCACAAAAATCTAAAAACCGACCCTGATAATGATTAAAATGTCATTGTGTAATAATAATGCTAATAATAATTAAGGATAAAAACGTTATTTGTTGTTATAAATACTAGTAATTCACCTGCGCGATGCACGGAAAAAAAATTATGTTATTATAAATATAAATAAAAAATAGAAAAACTAAAATATTTTAAATTATTTAATATAATAATATTTTTGAGCTTCCATTGGTCAAGTATTTATTATTTTTATAGAATACAAAATTACAATTAAAATTATAATTTTGTATGGTTAATATAATCTCTAATTATGTGCATATTCAAATAAACTTATAGAGATAATTTACATAATTACATTGATATATTCTTAATTGTATTTCATCTATATTATAATTTTCACAATACAAATAATAAATAAGATAATTACATTTGGAAAGCAAATTTCAAATTTTGTATGTTTAAATTTAAACTCTAATTGAACACATTTTTTATATGATAATATAATATATAGCTATTTTATTTTTCAAAAGTATATTTTTTATATGATTATATAATATATAGCTATTTTATTTTGTATTGTTAATATAATCTCTAATTATGTGTATATTCAAATAAACTTATAGAGATAATTTACATAATTACATTGATTTATTCTTAATTGTATTTCATCTATATTATAATTTTCACAATACAAATAATAACTAAGATAATTACATTTGGAAAGCAAATTTCAAATTTTATATGTGTAAATTTAAACTCTAATTCAACACATTTTTTATATGATTATATAATATATAGCTATTTTATTTTTTTAAATGTTGTGTTTTTTTTTTATAATAAAGGATGTTGTGGCATTAATTGTAACATTAATTATTTCCCAAACCATATAGCTTTATTATATAAAGGATTTTATTATTATGGCCATTAAACTTGTGTCATTTTGTTAGCCTTTACTTATTTCATTACTTATGTTAAAGGATGTGAAAGGTTGTAATCATCCCTATAAATTGAGGGTGAAGGCTTAATGAAAAGATGGTCTCATGTGATTGTATTCTTTCTCTCCCTTTTACTTATCTATTCTATATACTCATATACATACAATCTCCAAGTATTACCGTGCAAACATCACGCGAGAACCAACGAGTTGATAGGCCGAATTACAACACGTTATCAGCACGAGTCTCTATTGTAATCTCCAGTGAACGGTACTATTGGTTCATTTTCATGTGCATTTTTTGTTTTTGAATCATATGCCATTGTTTATATATAAATATTATGTGTATATATGGTTATGAGTTTGTTTTGGAACCTTCAATTATTGTTTCTATGAAATGAGTGATAATTCTTCATGTTTGTTAACAACTTTTGAGTGATGAACCCCTCATCAAGACATGGTTAAGAATTTGGGTAAATACATGAATTTGTAAATACATATTATCATTATTTATTCTCTCAATTCATGTATATGAGATAGGCTCTATATGAACCATGATGCTTTGAAATGGTAAATACATGTGGTTATATGCCAAATTGTATGTATATGTATCCATGTATGTTCTATGACTATAGATATCGAATGCATAATCGGTCCTTATTATGTTTGTATTAGAATGTTAAGAAACGGATATGCATATTTATGTAAAAGGTGTTTCTTCATCCATTGCTTGAACATGTATTCAAAATAGTGGTTTTTTCCACAAGTTGTCAATATTAGAATGTTAAGAAACGGATATGCATATTTATGTAAAAGGTGTTTCTTCATCCATTGCTTGAACATGTATTCAAAATAGTGGTTTTTCCACAAGTTGTCAAATTGCTTCATAAAGTTGCATCAAATGATGATCTTGTAGATTATGCCTTTCATTGAAAATGTGAATTTATTGAGCTCGCTCATGTCGATAGCAATTATTTCACTTGGGCTTTGGATATTGAAATATATTTGGCATCTAAGAAATCGAGCCAAACTTTTGTTGCCAAGTCACATAGAACCGATGCTCAGAAGGCACAATCTCTCATTTTCATACGTCACTACTTGAACCACGATCTTAAAAATGAGTATCTGATTGAAAAAGAACCCCTTGAATTAATGGAAGTCCCTGAAGGACTATTCCGACTAGAAGTCATCAAATGTTCTTTCTCTTCCTTTTACTTATCTATTCTATATACTCATATACATACAATCACCAAGCATTACCGTGCAAACATCACGCGAGAACTAACGAGTTAATAGGCCGAATTACAACACGTTATCAGCATGAATAACGTATGATAACGTGTAATTCTGCCTATCAACTCATTTTTTTTCCATTGAATTACAATTCATAAGAAGAGAACATGAATTGCAATTCAACAAAATGAAGAATTGTAATTTCTTCTAACTAAACACTATAATTCAAATAATCAAAGAATTAGATTGAATTACAACTATGCCCAATCAAGCAACCCATTAACGATTGAAACGACTCCATATCATTCTTTATTGTAGAGAATTTGTTGGGCTGTTTTTATCTCGGTGGGTCTTTAGGCCATCTCCTTTTTTTGAGGCCTTCAAAATTTCCGTTGAATTGTAAAAGTAGCCCAAAAAATGGGAAAGTTGAAGGGGGAAATCTTTAAAAAAAAAAAAAAAAACAATTGTTATACGGTGGACCATGATTCATAGTGTTATGTAGACTATGATTATCAAATAAAATTGTAGTAGAATTAAAATAATACTTCAGTGTTGATAAAATGAAATTAGTATGTGTAAAAAATAGAGTCTATTCAACAATATATTGTCAAATGAAATTGTAGTATAATTAAAATGATACTTTAATATTGTCAAAATGAAACTAGTGTGTGTGAAAATGAAACTAAAATTCATAATCATACAATAACATATATTTTCAAGTGAACGTGTAGTGTAATTAAAATAATACTTTAGAATTATTATAATTAAACTAGTGTGTGTGGAAAATGAAATAACAAAATAGAGCTCATACAATAATGTATATTGTCAAATGAAACTGTAGTAGAATTAAAATGATACTTTGGTATTGCTATAATGAAACTAGTGAGTGTAGAAAATGAAACTAAAAAATAGAGCAATATTGTCAAATAAAACTAAAGTAAAATTAGAATTATACTTACTTTATGGACCATATTACTATATGGACCATGGTCTACGGTAAAAGTTGCCTAAAAAGAACAACTCCATATCATTCTTTATTGGAGAGAATGGAGCGTTATGCTATGGAACCGGTTCCAAATGACGTTGTTTTCATGTGTGAGTAACGGTGCCATTAGTAGCACTGTTATCCTCCATAATTTATAATTTATATACTGTAGATTCATAAAATCTATACTGTAGATTCATAAAATCTATACTATAGATTCATAAAATCTATACTGTAGATTCATAATTTATAAACCATAGATTCATAATTTAAATACAGTAGATTCATAATTTCTATACAGTAGATTCATAATTTATATACTGCATATTCATAATATCTATACTGTAGATTCATAATTTCTGTACTGTAAATTCATAATTTCTAAATTGTATAGTTATCAAATGATGAATATATAGTTATGTGATTTGTGAATACAAAGTTCAACCATTGGATATATAAACATTGAAAATTATGAACATATAGCTCTATAATTATGAACTTATATTTATAAAATTATAAACATATAGCTCTATCACATGTTCACAAACCTAATACTATAGATTCATAATTTTTATATTGTTAATTCATAATTTTTAAATTGTGCGATTGCAAAGAGAAAAATACCGTTAATAATAAGTGAAAAAATAAATTTATTTTTTTAATTAGAACGGCGTGGTTTTCGTTGCGTTGTGGAACTGTGCCCACCTTCGTTTCCACAGCATAATTTGCCGGACAGAATTTGTTGGGCTGTTTTTATCTCAGTGGGCCTTTAGGCCATCTCCTTTCTTTGAGGCCTTCAGAATTTCCGTTGAATTGTAAAAATAGCCCAAGAAATGGAAAAGTTGAAGGGAGACTTGAAAACTTTGTCAGAAGTGGGATTTGAACCCACGCTCTCTCACGAGAACCAGAACTTGAGTCTAGCGCCTTAGACCACTCGGCCATCCTGACTCTTTAGTTTTGTTTTTACTCATAAATTATTTGAATTAGTAGTTTAATTCCTCCATCTGTATCACAAATTTAGCACAATTTGAATTGATATGAATCAACACTTAATTGCAAATTAGAGCACGATTTCGATCTTACCATTTAAGTGTTGATCTCTTACAATTATTTGTAATTTGTGATGATTTTTTAAAAAGCCAAAGGGTGGTACAAATTTTATTGTACAATTCAAATTATAATTTAATCCTAAATATAATAAAGTCAAATCTATATGGAAATAAAATATGATAAAGGATGGTGATCACATTTTATTGGTGCAAATTTATGTGAATGACATAATCTTTCGAAGCACCAATCCATCTTTATGCAAGAAGTTCTCAAAACTCACACAATGTAAATTCGAGATAAGTATGATGGGAGAACTTAACTTCTTTTTGGGATTGCGACTCAAGCAAAGCGTAGAAGGCATCTTCATTAACCAAACAAAGTACACCAATGGTTTAATCAAGAAATTTGGTATTGATGAGAAGTCATCGGTCAAAATCCCAATGAACACGTCGTTGCGGAACCGGAATCGGAACCGCGGTCACCCCTACATAAAATAAGTATAATTCTAATTACACTTTAGTTTCATTTGATAATATTGCTAAGTTTTTCAGTTTCATTTTTCACATTCACTAGTTTTATTATAGCAATACCAAAGTATCATTTTAAATCTATTGTAGTTTCATTTGACAATATACATTATTGTATGAACTCTATTTTGTTGTTTCATTTTTCACACACAATAGTTTAATTATAATAACGCTAAAATGTTGTTTTAATTACACTCCACATTCATTTGATAATATATATTATTGTATGGTTCTGAATTTTAGTTTCATTTTTCACACACTAGTTTCATTTTAACAACATTAAAGTATCATTTTTTTAAGTGATAAAGTATCATTTTTTTTTCATTTAATTATACTACAATTTCATTTGACAATATGTTGTTGAATGAACTTTGTTTTTTAGTTTCATTTTTCACACACACACACTAGTTTCATTTTAACAACATTAAAATATCATTTAATTATACTACAATTTCATTTGACAATATGTTGTTGAATGTGCTCTATTTTTTAGTTTCATTTTTTACACACACTAGTTTCATTTTAACAACACTAAAGTATCATTTTAATTCTACTACAGTTTCATTTGACAATCATTGTTCACATAGCACTATGAACCATGGTCCACTGTATAACAACCCGACAATCCACATGGTGGGCCGCGAGACTAGTCAAGGTGGCAAATTATGCTGTGCATCCCCTGTATGCACTCTGCATGGTGCATATGGATGCAAAAACGACATCGTTTTGCATAAAACGCGCGCCCTACTTAAAAAAAAATCAGTTTCGATTCCCAGCAACAACATTATGTTATTCATTTTTAGTTCATTCATTTTGAATTTTTCAGTTATGCAATTCTGGAAGTGTAGTTATGCAATTATGGATGTGTAGTTATGAAGTTATGGATGTGTAGTTATGCAATACTGGAATTATAGTTATGCAATTCTGGAAGTGTAGTTATGCAATTCTGGAAGTGTAATTATGCAATTCTGGAAGTGTAGTTATGCAATTTTGGATGTATAATTATGAAATTATGGAAGTGTAGTGAAATTATGGATGTGTAGTTATGCAATTTTGATTTTTTTTTTTTTTTTTTTTTTTTAAGTTAGACGCCAAAACGACGTCGTTTTTGCATCCATATGCACCATGCATGGTGCATACGGATGCACAACATAACGCTCCAGTCAAGGTCTAGTATGGCGGCGGGCTCTGAGTCCTGGATCTTTTTTGGGCCGCTTGGATTATCTTCTTGGACCTTGGGCAATCCAGGATCTCTATTATTAGATCATTTCCAATATCTCCATTAAGGCAAATTATGCTGTGAGCACGTACCCATCTTGCAAGGTGGATACGATTCCATATCTATAATTTTTATACTGTAGATTTATAATTTCTATACTGTCGATCCGTAATTTCTATACGGTAGATTCATAAAATTTATACTTTATATTCCAATTGTTGAACTCTGTTTTAACAAATCAGAAAACTATATGTTCATAATTTGATAACTATATATTATATAAATTATGAATCTACAGTATAGAAATTATGAATCTACTGTATAAAAATTATGAATCTACTGTATTTAAATTATGAATCTACGGTTTAGAAATTATAAATCTAAAGTATAGAAATTATGAATCTACAGTATAAAAATTATGGATATAAAACCGTGTCCACCTTGTAAGATGGGCACGTGCTCACAACATAACATTTCCTCCATTAAACAGTAATGGATTTTTTTCTAAATTTAAAATCAAACGATGTTGTTTTACTTCATAATTCACACTGCTACCTGGACCATAGTCAAGATAAAATTTGACGAACAAATATGTATGGGCTGTTGTGTTAACAAACTAATCAATCAAATGAAGCCCAAGATCCACATCCGTTTTTCCCGTGGACTAGATTTATGAATCAAATATGGGCTTCGTTGTACAATGAAAATATTCCAAGGCCCAAGATTTCGTACTCCACGTGGCAGCACGAGATAAGACCTACAGGCTACATCTTGCGTAATACGCATAGAACGTAGCGTATCTTACCCCCTTTCTTCTCTTCAATATTTTTCTCCTTTTAACACTGCACCTTTCGGCTTTCGCCTCTGCAAAAAGCCAAAAATTTAAAAATTCTGCCGAAAAATTGTAGCAATCATCTTCCTGGTTTCTACTTTCCTCGCTTCCGATCAGAGTACGCGCCTCGAATTTTTTTTTTTTTTCGAATTTAGATCTTATCAATCAATTAATCTAGTAGAGTAATCTGTTTTTGAAAATTTATTTATTTTGATATGCTGAGCATTTAATGTTAGTATTTATCAGAATTTTTTCTTTAATGGGAGTGATTGAATATAGTGTGGGATTGAATTTTTGTTTGCATTTTTTTTTTTGATAGGAGAGCTGAGACAGTTGATCTGGTGGTTAAGCTAGCCAGAAATAGTAATTATGGTATGCAATTTCAATTTTTCGACATGTATTTGAAGTGATTATCTCCTTGCTTTTTCTCTTTCTGAGAAATTATTATCTGGGTTAAACTGTTGCTTGGCAATTCAATTGCTTATTTGCTTTTGTACTTAAGAGCGCAATTCATCATTCAGTATCAAAATGTTAGTCTATATGCATCTGCAGAAATGGACTAAAGTATAAAAACATATTTCCTGCAATTATGGGATCTGGTGTAAAGTTATCTTTTGTTCTTGAAAACTTTTTGCCTGGTTGGACTTGGTATTAGCCATTAACTAAAACTAATTGAAGCAATTGTAGATATATAATATAGTAGTTTTGTTTATTAATCTGCACTCCAATGAACTATCATGATGACAATAAGTTGGAGTTATCAAGGTGATTAATGCCACATAATAAATTATTAATGTCTTTGAGGAAGCTACTTTGGTGGTTCACCTGAGTCTGTTCTGCCTTACTTAACAAAAAGATAAGGTATTTTTAGGAAACCTAGAAGTTAATCATCTATGATTTCGTTCACATTCTTCAAGATGCTTATTTGTCCTATGCATCATTAGTTTAATTTGAAGTATTATCTTTAAAAAATGTTAAGTCCTAGTATGGTATGTGTTGTTGTGGGCCTTTTGCTTTCCAAACAAATATGTTTTCTCCTTCTGTTTTGCCCTTGCCCTTATTCAGTTTGTTTCTGAAAATGCAGTTTTTTGATGGATATGGTTACCATGGAACATCATTTGAGCAAACATATCGATGTTATCCTGCATCATTTATTGATAAGGTTGGTTGGTTTCCATGCTATTTCTCCCTTGGTAATTAAGGAGTTTAGATTGAGTTGATTCTCCAATCATCTTCTTCCTGTTCTCTTATTAGTGGATGTCTTCATGCACAAAGGATAATCATTCCACAGGCTTTTACTATTATCTCAAAAATGAAAATGGGGGGAAACATATCTTAATATGGTCCTGAGTTCTCTGCTGAAAACAGTTGACAGCTTGACGCCTTAATGCAATAGACGAAAAGATACACATACACACACAAGCACAACACATCAATGAAATTCAGAATGAAATATGCATCAATAGATATCTTTACTTTTTCTCAAGTTTGTACCCTCTACTTGGATTATCTTGTTTTTACATACTATAATACTGATTCTGCTAACTTTTTCTTTCTGCAGCCTCAGATAGAAAATGGTGACAAAAGTAAGTAGCAGTATTCCTTTGAAGTTCTCTTTCTCTCTTAGATAATTTGTTACTGAAATGTTCTTGCTCATGCTATCTTCTACTTGTCCATTTCAGTTATAATGCCTCCATCTGCCCTTGATCGCCTTGGTTAGTTTTCAGAATTCTGTTTATGTTGTTTCTCTTATAATGCTTCACTTAATTGGTTCCTTATTTGCTTTTCTTCACTGGCACTGAATTGCTTTTCTTCTATGAGTCATCATTTCAAAATATTTAATGAAACTTCAATTTTGCAGCATCTCTACATATTGACTATCCAATGTTGTTTGAGCTTCGCAATGCTGCAACGGAGCGGGTTTCTCATTGTGGGGTTCTGGAGTTCATTGCAGAAGAAGGCATGATATATATGCCATATTGGGTAAGTAATTTGATATAGATTTTATGCCAGCTTGCACACTAAAGTTAATCAGTCATAATCTCATTAAATGAGGTCTTGTAGATGATGGAAAATTTATTGTTGCAAGAAGGAGACTTTATACGAGTGAAAAATGTTGCTCTTCCAAAGGGTACATATGTAAAATTGCAACCGCACACAAAAGATTTCCTGGATATTTCCAACCCAAAAGCCATGTGAGTTAGCTCATGTTGTTGTTTGCTTATATACAATCTGCCTGGATAAATCTCTCACCAGGCTTTTTATTTATTTTATTTTTTTCTCCTTTCCATTCTGGTGCAGCTTGGAGACAACACTGAGGAATTTCTCTTGCTTAACCACAGGAGATAGTATCATGGTGGCTTATAATAATAAAAAGTACTACATAGATATAATTGAGACAAAGCCATCTAATGCTATAACTATCATTGAGACAGACTGTGAAGTGGACTTTGCCCCTCCTCTTGATTACAAGGAACCTGAAAAACCTGTTTCTAATCTTCCGAGCAAGGCCCCTTTTGAAGGTTATTCTCTCAATACTTATTATCCCCCTTCATTGTAAAGAAAACACCAATAGTGCAGTTTTGCATTTATTTTGGTCTATATGTTTATTATAATGTTGCAATGTTTTTTGGCTTAGTTATCCTTTTTAATACATATATGGGTTTAATTAAAATTCTCAGTTAGGAAGATTGGCTCTTCAGACTGAAAACAATTTCCTGAGTTAAATCAAGTTTCTAAAACTATACTGTAAAAGCATCATTCATTTTTATGGAAACAAAAATTTTTAAAAAATGACAAGCTCAAACATGTGTGCTGAATTAGCCTAAAGTTCCACAATTGGGAGTCTCTGGGAATAGAGTATTGAGAAGGGTATATGATTCTATGGCTTTAAATAGTATCTACCTTCAATTTGAGATCAGGTGAATGTTATTTATTACTAGACTTCAATTTGTTTTTTTATAAAAGGCAAGTATTTATGTGCTGATTATTAGAAATTATGACTCACACAGGTCAGGAGGCTCCAGATGAGGCTGTACCAAAGTTCAACCCTTTTACTGGTTCAGGAAGACGCTTGGACGGGAAACCTCTGAAGTATGACCCTCCGCCTGCTTCCTCATCTGGGCTCAAGGACAAGAAACCTGAAGTATCCAACTCTCATGGCCAGTCTTCTACCTCAAGCACTCAAAATGCTAGTCGCCAATCTCAAGGGAAGCTTGTGTTTGGCTCAAACACGAATCGCAATCGGGAGACACCAAAGGTTTGTCACTTCATACATGCTTGTTACGTATCTCTTTTTTGGTACTTCACTTTGCACTTTTCTATGTATGGAAGTATGGAACCTGCTCATTTTAGTCAATCTGGCTGTCCACAACTAAAGACCTGAAACTCCCACTCGTTGCTTTACCAGCTCCTAATGCAATCTGTTAATGTGTCTGTACCTGCAGCAGGAACCTGCTAAAGAAGAGCCTCAGAAGAACGAAGAGCCAAAGTTCCAACCTTTCACTGGGAAAAAATACTCCTTGAGGGGTTGATTGTATTTTATCTTCCTGACTCATGATGTACCTTCCAAACCCTCAATTATTTTGTTGGTCACAAGTACAGGAATTATGTTGAAGTAAAATATTGCATCTTTCAAGTGACTTGCTGTTGCAAAATTGTGAATGATATGGAGCTTGCACTTGGGTTTCAATTCTGCAACCTTGTGCCAGTGTGGGCATATTTGGGCTTTATGCCAAACTCTCTTTAAGGACTCTTCTTGCATATTTTTCCATTTCACTTTCGTTCTCTCTTTTCAAAATTTCAGACTTTCTTCATCAACCAAATGTGGCTGTTAATATAATCACGCCCAAAATAAAAATATAGCCAATTAAAACAATAGAGCAGGATGTATATCCATTTTGGTGAAAGAGGAAATTGTAATCACTATATGGAAGTGTGTACTGAGTAAATCTTGCTTTGGTATAATAGTTATTGTGTAATTATTTACAAGTCACATGGGATAGATAAATTATATTAGAAAGATTTTGTGTTACGAGTTCAATCGAGAGAGTGTTGACCGAGTATGATGTGTGTGTGTGTGTGTTTTTTTTTTTTATTTATTTTATTTTATTTTATTTTTTTTATTTTTTATTTTTTATGGTGCGCTCACTAATATTAATGTTTTTGGTATATTGGATTAAAATGTTTGAAAAAGCATGAGTTTTTATTATCCCATAAAAAATGTATTTGTGTACATGAGGACTTGTTCGGGAGTCATTAATAAAGCTCTCCATCTTCTCCATGAGAGAGATGAAGAATTCCTAGGAAGAAGAGGGAGAAATTGCCCTTCTTGACTCCTACTTCCCTTTTGTCTTTTTTATTGCTATTAATATAGATAAATGAAAATATATTATCCCAGTTTGGTAAAAAATTGGCCTATAGGTCAATTTTGGCCTATTTGACCACTATTAATTGTTTGATTTAGTTAAAATATCAATATAAATGTTTGGTTAATTAGCTTTTTGCAACCCCAAAATGCTAAAATTCAAAAAGCTACTCCAAACAACTTTTTCAATTAGCTTTTTGAAAAAAGAAATTATACCAAACAGCTATTAACTAACAACTAATTTACCAAACACTTTTCTACAATCAGCTAATGTTATCAACTATTTATACCCTCTAATTAACACAATCAGCTAAAGCTAACAGCCATTTTACCAAACAGGGCCATATGTACTAATGTACACCGTTCTGTGATTTTGGTATAAGCTAGCATGCTAGGTCATTTTTATCGAGTCTCGAGTATCGTTATTGCATCAAGAAATATAAAATATTTGATAGTATATTATTAAAAAAAAAAGAGAGAATTATTTGTTCAACATAATTTTTAAATTTTCAATGAAAAATAAACACATTATTATTATTATTATTATTATTATTATTATTATTATTATTATTTGAAAACAATTATTAATTATTAATTATTATTATTATTATTATTATTATTATTATTATTAATATTAATTATTAAATTGAAGATGAAAAATAAAAAATAAAACATGAGAAGATAGGGTGGCATTTATAATTAAACTAAAATCAGGGCCTTGGGAATAAACAAAATCGTTCTAGCCTTCTAGGCTGAGAGCCTGAGAATTTAGCATCTGTGGAATTAGGGTTTAAGGTTGGGGAACACCAGCGGGCCGAGGAACCGGAGATGGCGATGGTGAAATGGTGCTGCACGGCGGCGAGACGGACGATGATGGCCACCGAGCAACGGCTGGCATTTTCCACGCTATCGTCCTCAACTAGCAGCACACCGGCGATTGTGGAGGCGCCGGTCCTGTGTGGTCGAGGGGACAAGAAGACAAAGAAAGGGAAGCGGTTTAAGGGATCGTACGGAAACTCGAGGCCTAAGAAGGAGAAGAAGATTGAACGCATCAAGGACAAAGTCGAGGTCCCCAGGTCCACCCCATGGCCACTCCCTTTCAAACTCATCTAATTACATCAAATTATCTTAATAATGATATGATTATAGATTTCTACCTGTTTACATTTGTATTCCCTGAACCCAGTGTTTGAGATCTTATTCTGTGACAAGAATATGTTCTTTTGTTGTTCATCTTGACTGAATCAGTTGTTAATTTCACATGATTGATTTACTTTTCTATCTGGCATTGTTTTTTCTTTTGACTAATTGGGGTTCATATAATTTGGAGAGTACATGCTGGCTTTAGATTATTATTTAGCTGGAGTACAAGTGCAGAAATTGTTAGTGCTGTATGAAAATTAATGGATTTGGATGTCTATGGTGATGTAAGAGAGAAGAATGTTGCTTACTTTGAGAAAAATGTTGTGCAAGCCAAAGGTTTTCTGGGCTCATTTTTAAGTCTCAGCTACCCTATTGGAAATGAAATACATTAGTATTTGCTCTATAGAAACAAAATATTTTGTAATATTAGAGGTATGGTCTTGACCAACCCTATGGTGTTAATAGTGTCATTTTCTTGTTGGGTGGTGAAAGGTGAACCCTCTACATTTGAGGAAGCTCGGCAATTGGGAACCAAAAGGTTTTGTCAATTAACTTGTAGGCATGGCAAATTGGTGAAGTTTCAGTGTTCAAGCTGCATTTATGCCATCTATTCCCATTTGGATTTTTCAGGCTCAATAACTAAGTAGCCAGTTAGTCATGTCAGCAGATGTTGCATGGATGATGATTTTTGTTTCCATATTCTGCTGTGGGTACCTGGGTTTTTTGGTGATATGTTAGGCGATGCTGACTTGTTATTCACTAGAATGTCTTTTGCTAGTTTGCTACTGATATTATCACTAAAATTTAATGAGCTGTGGTTCTGTGAACAAAGTCATGGAATTGCCTTCTACAGTATGTGGAGATTACATGAGAACAAATGCACTTTAGAATGAACAAAGGCCATCAGTAATTATCTTGATGTTAAAGACATGCACCAAAAAGAAAGAGCCAAATGAAAATTGTATCAGTTAGACTCTTTTTGTATTTGCTCGATTTGTAATGATCATCATGCTTTAATGAAAGAAAGTGTTTTTGGAGTTGCGTTGAGTTCTAATTTGCAGTAATTTTACTCCTAGAAATACTTGTTAAACTCGACTATTTGGCTGTTTGTAATGAAAATCATTTTCATGGATAATTTCAGCCCTATAGTAAGAGCATAGGTTTTGGTATCATAGAAAATGGGAAAATTGTTAGGAACATTTTGTAAAATATTTTGACAATACCAAACTTAGGAGTTTTAGACCCCTCATTTTTGTTTTCGTTCTGTAAAGTCCTATTCTTGGACGAATTGTTACCCGAATCGTCAACCAGCAGTAGTGCAAGAAGCACTTGTAGAGATCATCTCGTGGTAACTTCATCATAACCCGAGCTGATAGTCTTTAATGGTTCCCCGTGTTCAAGAATGAAGTATGGAAGAACGAAGATTCGAAGACACAAGGCCGAGAGGTTGCTAAAGGCTGAACCATGGAATGATCTACCTCTTGGTCAATGTCAAATGATAAAGAAAGGTCATTTGAGGAGTTATGGGACGAATGATAAAGTCAATCATTCGTGATTGAGCAATCAAAGACACGAGTCATTGCACGATTCGATTGGACAAGCCAAAAACATTCTCTGAGCTATTTCTGCTCGAAGTCTTAAGTGGGGGATGATTTATCTTGGACAATCGGAGTCCTAGGAACAAAATTCAAAGTCATCGATCATTAAATGACATGTCCTTTTGCGCAGTACTATAGGAGAAAAGCTTACTCACTTTATGGAGCAAACGGATATAAAGTACTGACACTCACCCACACTCAATACCCATCGGTTATTACCCATCTAACGTATGAGGTGTGTTTGGAATCTGTTCAGCCATCTGTAGAGGAAAAACACAATCTAAAAACAATAAGATATGTGAGTAGCCATGTTAGTGAAATGAAAGAGTTGGCTCGCTCCCTCGCTATTCTCAGTTTGCGGGTACGTAAGAGGTGGATTATATGGCAATGGGGATACACTACACACTCTTACAAACACACACACTCAACTCGTGTATCACTCTGGGTGGGAGACTGTAACACCCCCGTTTTCTAACACCATAGCCTAGTAGATTATAAGATTACACAGCGAAAATAAACACTAAACGGGGAATGCTACCGTCGCAGCCATCCACTCTTGGATGACGACAAGGCTAGCTACTAGATCTCAACTTATACAAGACATCAAACAACAAGGATTAGGTAGGCCCAAACATCTATTCATTTATATAACCCACATCTCAACAAAGACTTAACTCGGAAATCCATATATGTTCTATTATACAAGCAAGCTAAGGGTTAACAAAAACTACATACTTAGAACTAGAGATAACGTATACTATTTATCTAGCTCCTCAAGGCGCTCGCTCAACAAACATTACTACAAAACTGAAAAGGGTTATCAAGAAAACATACGAAAGAACCCGTTAGCATATAATGCTAAGTATAAGACCACTTAACCCTGTAACATAATATAGATATAGATTTTGAAAAATAATTTGTCAATCACACGTAACACATAGGAATAGAGATACAGATAGATTCACGTGTATATGTACATATGTATATGTACATATTTACATATGTATGTATACATATTTACATATGTATGTATACATACATACATATGTATGTATACATACATACATATGTATGTATACATACATACATATGTATGTATATACATACATATATATATATATATATATATATATATATATATATATATATATATATATATATATATATGTGTGTGTGTGTACATATATATATATACATATGTGTACATATATATATATATATATATATATATATATATATATATATATATATATATATATATATATATATATATATATATATATATATATATGGGGTAGTTTATTCTGGAATGCATAAGTAAGGGAATAAGTATAGAATACTAGCTTTATACCACCATTGTAAGTAAACCAAAAAGGTTAAGTAATAACTGCATTTAAATCGTAGTCATGAGTAAAAGGAGTATCATAATAAGATAGTTTCAAATATATCCTTTAGTAAATACACTCTCACCTTAAAAACAATATTTCTTTTTTAATACTGGAGGAATCTCATATCAATCTCAATCTTTCTCAATCATTCTCTTCAAGTAACCTTCCAAGAATTTTCAACCGGATCTCATCTCATCATTTCATTCCATCATTTCTGCCGAAAGGACCGTAGTCCAATCAGGTCCTCCAAAATATATATTTTTCCTCACACTTTTGA